TTTCCTTGCAAATTACTTTTAATTATATATATATATAAAAGAAGAAAAATATATAGATAATTATCTTCTACAATTTTGCCAGAGATTATAAATACATTATTTTACGTTAAAAATCATATTTGTTTGTACGTCCTTCTAACACGTTTGATTTGCTTGCGAGGGAATATTTTATTTGATGGGAATTTTTACGATGTGTGTTCACTCGTGAGAATATTGAATGGAACGCGATGAAATTTGTCATGAACATGTCCATCTTGATCACATATATACAATATATCGAAATTGCAATATTCGTATATTAATCAATGTATAACAATAATTTATTCCACAAAATATAATGAATTATCACTTTATTTTATCAACGTGATATACTGAATTTCTCTAGCACCTTCGTAGTGAAAAATGAAGAATGTAACAAAATTTTTTTTTTTTAATTAACAGTAGTTTTCTTCAGAACACGAACATTTTTAACCGACTATCTTAATTCTTTTATTAAATAAACAAACATCAGCATCGATTTGGTACTGTTCATGTTGGATACTTCGATCTGATATGATTGCACAGAACCGTCGTTGCTTTCGTCAAAGGGAAGCAATAAAATACTAGGTAATGCATCGGTGATTGATTATCGAGTTCGTTATCGACAATTATTTTTCGAGCGTTTTGCAAAGTTCTAGACGATACGATTAAAAGCTATAATTTCTGCAACATCGTGTAAGCAAAGTAATGAAATAATCTTTCGCTCGAATGCGCACTAATCGATCGCAATGCCCGCGTACATAAATCCAAATTGCCCTCATTAACAAACATAACAAAAAAGAAAAGGAAAAACATTAAAAATAAAGCATCTGAGGGGACGTGTAACATTGTCATAATACAAAAGATTCAGCAGCAGATACGCGTTTCGCGAGCCCGCCCAAAACGTCACGCGACGCGGCGCTTGATTGATCAATTAACCGATTATCAATTATAAATTATCCGGTCGTCAGGCCCCGCTCCTCCCCGCGACGTGACGAACGTTCACCCGGCAAAACGAGAAAATGTCTTCCGTCGAATTATCCTCTCGAGAACATCGAGAGAGACTTCAAGAGTCGAAATTAAATGCAGACGGGATTACGGGGTTAACGGGTAATTAACGCGTGCACTCTCATACACAATTACATCCATGCGCACACATGCACACGTATATATACGCGCTTACAGGCCGCGATATCGGCAGAATCATCCGTCCGCGAATGACGTATGCGCAAATTCCTAATGCCTCGATGAGTTTAATTATTTACAGGAGAGTCTTTATGTCATACATGTGTATGCGTGTGTATGTGTGTGAGTGTGTGTGTGTGTGCGCGTGTGTGTGTGTGTGTCAAGTTTTCTTAATTCACATTATACATAATACATATAGACTTAGATTATTAATAGTACCATACGCGAAAGCAAGCCCAAACGGCACTGAACCTCGTAAAATTTCATCGGTGAACCAGGTGATTGCCAAACGTTTACGGCATGCTCGCACAAAAATAACAGACATACAAACATACACACTTCGCATTCTCTCTCGCTCTTTACACTTGTCTTTCCTTCTATGCGCGTGTGATTTAATTATTCCTTAATCTTGCAGAGATTTACACTCAGGACAAGTACATGCAAATATCAATTTCGTGTTTTAAATTATTCAGCGACAAATCTGTCAAGCCTCACAACGCAGATATGTATGTCCTTGTTAATTAAAGTTTGGCCGTGTCGATTTGAAATTACTTATAACTTGAAACGCTATGCAATTCTGCAATGTTTTACTTTGTCAATATTCGGCAAATAATAATAGTAATTACAATTGCAAAAAATAAAAAAATATTTCTTTAATGTTTTTTGAAAATAATAAAACAATGCTTGCAATAATCGAATAAAGTTATACATATATATTATAAATATGCAATGTATATATAAAAAATTGTGATAATAGAAATTGCAGACAACTTACAGAAAAGATTTACTCAAACTACACTACATGTGCACTTCTAGTCAATTCGACTGTCGAAAGTTTCAAATTCAAATATAAAATTTATAATATATGTATCATATTAATAATATTATATCTTCTTACTTTATTTGATTGTTTTTACTGAAATACTCTAATTCGTACATTTTCCTGTTATTATAGTTCAATTTCCCGAAATAAGAAAAAGACACGTGCTTAAACTGACGAATAGAGACGAAATATAACATATTTATTCATCAATAAAATTTAACATTTGTTTTTGCTTGTATCTTATAGCAGTTATAACTAGACTGTGAAAGTTTATGAGTTTTTAATGTAAGATCCAAATTATGATCCGAGATGTGTTATTTTTTTCGCAACAATAATAATAATAAAAAAAATATCATCTAGGCGACATAGAGAAACAATACCCGTTAAATTTTCGTTAAAACGATTCTTAAAACTGTGTTTTAACGTTATAACGTTTATTCATAAAATGGTTCATTTTGAAACTTCACAAACTCTCACATTCTACTTATAGTATAAGTGCACTGAAACATCAATTATTGCCATATGCAATAACGTCAATAAAATTAGAATTGTTAACTGAAATTATAACTGAAACTAAGATAATTGTAATAAATAAAAGTGGACAACTATGATAGATATCAAACGAACGAGGAAGATCCTTCCAAACTAATTTTTTTAAAATCCTATAAGATTTGCGACAAGAGACGCTACGAAGTTACTCTCTTCAACTCGAAACAAAATATTTCGTGGCACAAAAAAACTTTGCATCAAAAATTCCTTGCAAATAATAATTTTCCAAATTGCACATATCTGATCGTTACGATCTAATAAATAAAGTATAACTACGCTTTCCGTCTTCAATTACTGCACAGAGAAATGACACGGGCGCCTTGTGGCAATTAAACTAGCTTCTAAGCTCGACAAATATTTCTCGTTAAATATATATGGAGACCAAAAAATATTGATAAAGAAAAAATCAAATTATTCGTGTCGGTAGACTCCGTACAATTTAAAGTGCTCGCCGTACCGATGTGAGCGCGCTTTCTATACTTGTATGTTTCGGGATTTGGAGACCGCGCACTTGAGAAGAAACTACTGGCCTCGATTGGTGTGCATATAATAGGACTAGGATTGGACGGGGACGGGGGAAAGTTTGATGGAGAGGACTGTCGACATCTAATTCCTTACAATTTCGATACGTATACGTATTAATATATGTGTATATGCATAGTACCTTTTTAATTTATTTATAAACTTCATGCTTAGAGAAGTAGGGAGATCATTAACGTGATATCTTGCCATCGTTTTATGCAATATTTGTTTTCGACATTCGATTTAATAGCGTGACATACATTAACTGCCAGTAATTGATTGGAAACGTTGATATACAATAGACTTAGCAACCAAAAACGACTTGTAACGTATAGATATATATGTATAAGTCCCTTAATTATATGTATATATATAATTAAATATAGTGGTCTTACTATATATTCGTCACGTATCACAGAAGGAAGTGCTAATAACTATAATATAATCTTCTTGAACGCGTAATACCTAACAACTCGAAATTTTTATGTTAATTGTCCAAGACAATTGAAATACTAGCTTTCAATGCATTGAACTTGAAAAGCACCATCTCGCCACGGTGCTGAGTCTATCCTATACCTTAAAAACGATCAAGTTAAATATATATATTTATTTATATCATACAAAAAAAAATCGTCAAGATGCTAGCGTCAAATCTGGAATTTCGTTTTGCCGTGTGGTGTACATGTACGTTAAATATAAAACGTCGCGTTAGCGATCTTCCCACTTATCCCCGTTCGCTCGAGTGTCATCGATCGTGTCGCGGAGCTACGTACACCTATAATATCGTTCTGCATCGCGGATTCCTCGACCGGCTCGATCGGAAAGTAATTTGAAAGATCGTTGCACGCGCGCGTGTCGCATACCGTAGCGCTCATTTACAAACATCGACTACCCCCTGACCGTTTTCTTTTTTTTTTTCTTCGACCGTTAATTACCATTTAATGAATACGAAACTACTTACGATCAACTTCGCTAGACTATACAGAGTGCTACCAAGTGTAGCGGACGGGTACGCCGGGACGCATCCGGTCTCGTCACGGATGCGATTCTTAGTTTATGGTGTATTTATGTTTGTTGTTTGTTGTGTGTGTATGTGTGTGTTTTGAATGTGTATGTCTGATACTGAGGCCTCTTTAAAAGGTAGGAGGACCCGCTTAATCACGAATAACACAATGCTCTTCGTTCGCTGGGCGAATGCTTAAAGACTAAACTCAGTCGCTCCCGTACGTACCCACCACCACCACCATCACCACCATCACGGCTTCATCGATTTATTTCCTAGATTCAATCCCGTTGGACTGTCCGATCGATTCGCTTCTCCGGCGGAACCGCGCTTCTTGAGAATTGTGTTTTTGAAAAAGTCGAATTTAAGATTAAATACATCGATAAACATGGCACGTTATTTATTTCGCATTGTATATTGTATTTTCGTAGTCACGTAAATTATTAGATGATCACATTCGTGATTGAAACAAAAACAATTTGACTTTTTCGAAACACAAAATATAAAGTATTGCATCGTATAAAATAGGAACAGCTTCGCGCCTTTTTTTAATTTATATGTAATTATATATAAAGTATATATTTTTTAATCGTTTACAATAAAATTATATTACTATCACTTGGATACAACGCAAGGTTTAAAAATTTGCTAGAGTTGCCATTGTCATGTTTTGTTTCTATAGCACGAAATGCATAATCGCGAAGCTGCATCGGTTCCTCCGGTGAAGGGTACTTCCTGTCGCGTTTCCGGGGCGCCCGGTAAGGCGCGCCGACCGCATGGCGCGCTTTGCACGGTGCCCTATCGTCGCTATATTAATTTCTAATTCAATCTCTATATAAATTTCTAATATAATATACACGCGAGAGAGAGAGAGAGAGAGAGAGAGAGAGAGAGAGAGAGGAGAGGGGAGGAAAGAAGAGGAAAGAGAAAGATATATGTATATTTATATATACGTGTCTATTAGATATAACCGCGGAACAGAAAAAAGATCGAAAGAAAAATAAAATACATCGTTGTTCGCAATTGCTTGAGTAAGGATATGGATCGAAGGATCGCTCCCGAATATCGCCGAGATTACGACGCTATCAGCGTCAGATGTCCACGTTGACATCGTCGACCGGTGGTACCGCTCGCCACCGTTGTCGCTTAACCGACAGTGTCCTTTTTTCACAAATTCGATTGGCTCCTTTTTCGTTATTTTAAAGCCGCCTTTTAGAACGTCGCGGCATCAGATATGATACGTTGAAGGGGAACTCGTACGAAGGAGGAGGGTGGAGGAGGTGGGTGGTCCTGGAGGGCCTTCGTCGTCCTCTTGAGAATCTCTGCTTCTGTTACTCGCACCCCGTTCTCTCTTCCGCTCTTTTACGTTCGTTCTCTACTCTACCCTGGTCAACGTAGAAGGGCTCCTCTCTTCGCGTGGCCGAACAAACGGGATACATCTCCTGTATACATCTCGTTTTTTTATCGGTTCATTATGACGGGGCGATACTACGCCTCGACCTGATCCTCCGGGATCATTATGTCGGGCGCCATCGACAGGTCCTCCGCTATATCCTCGTCCTGGCCGGAGTCGTGGCCGTGGCTCTCAGAGTATTCTCTTTCGTCCGTCTGATCCTCCTCCGTCTCTTGCTCCATGGGGCCGTCCGGTAGTTCGCGCTTTATTAATCTCGGGTGCTTCCCTCCTTCCGGACTCTGGCTCTCCTGCTTTATGTGCACGGCCGGTTCATCCAGCGGCGACCTGTTGAATCGACGACACGCACGAACGTGTTGTGTACGCTTATGAGTGGAAAACTTGCGAAAGCCGGGTGTGTGTCGGGATATATATTTCATAGAGCGCGACAGACGCAGCGGTATATTTTTTTTAGCGACACGGTTAACGGGAGAATAACGATTTCGCTTTTCCGGTATTGTTTCATTGCCGCGGTTTCATGCGGTTTGTCAAGCTGCAACGAATAGTTTGTATTTTGCGGAAGAATCGCGCGGATAAGGGTATTTTTACGGCTTTTATGCGCGCGATCGAAATGGATCGTATATAAACCGTCCGTAAATATGTCCGTGAATAAAACAAATTTCGCGATGTCGGATAAATAAAAGATTCTAGGCGCGTGTTTCGGCAATATTATTATAAGCTGAAACAACATTCACGAAAATATAGGGGCACAAATGCAGATTTGTACCGGAAAAGAGTTATTACAACAGAACTCGAATAACACTGATCGATATTTGATAAAACGTATTGCTTGAGGAATGAGCGAATGACATACTTAATGGTGAATGTCACTTACATCAAGTCATTATGAGGTAATACATGTTCCTTATCAGGACTTGTCGCTGTTGACGTGCACATCGGATTCAAAAATCCCATGTTAGACTCCCCGAGTGCCTGGAAATACTCAAATTGCATTAGATGGTTAGTTATTACTGATTTAGTACCAAAATGCTAATCTCACTTAAATATTATACTACGCATTAGTTACTTTAAGAAAGAATAATTGTGCTTCCTGTTTATATAGCTAACGTAATTGTGCTTCTATTTGCTAGTGATAATTTATCAAAGAATATAAATAGATTCTCGTAAACTGCTAGCAAATCTTTCTAAACGAAAACTAAGCGAATCTTTCAGTCATTTAATTAATATGTATACCTTTGAATTATTCATCTCGTTACAACATTGATTTATTTTAATGCATAGCGTATCATTCGACTAAGACAATAAATTGCAAAAGTTTATGAGAGTTTTCATATTCTAGTTAATTAATTATTAATAGTTACCTGCAGGTTGGCATTAAGCGCATCACCGTACATAGTAGGACTATGCGTCAGTGTTGGGCTCTTTGATGGTACACCCCTAGATATTGACAGAAAAAAGTATGTTAATAGTATTCGAAATTTGGCTGTGAGCATATATTTCCTGAAACCAATCATGTGTATGAGTTTTCTTTAATCGTGTCAATGTTGGGACGGATCTGATAGAGAAGGGGGAGTATATAAAAGTTGAATGTATAATGATCATGTGTTTGTATGTTACGTGAATTGGAGTGGTAGATATGTAGACGTATTAAAGACAAAAAGGAGAAAGATAGAGAAAGCGAGAGAAAGAGGTGTAAAAGTGAAAGAGAAAAGAGAGAGAGAGAGAGAAAGAGACAAAGAGAATTATATAAATATGAAAAATGTAAAATACATATAAATATTAAAAAGAGATTCAAAAAGAGCGAAAAAGTATCCGAGATACTCTTACCTACTTACAGTGCCTCATATCGTTTTTGTCCACCGCACTCGTCTCATCGGTGATTGAGCGAGATTAGATAAAAATTACAAAGAGAGTATTCAAAAAAAAGCGCTCCCGTCTCGAAACTTTATAAATAAAATATCAATTTGTTCTTTTCCTTTTCTCCATTCATTTTTAATATGTGATATTATGTCAGTTTCGAAACAAACGTACTTATAAACGGCCACCAGGTTACCTGAGCTTACCATTTACTTTTGTTACTTCGCAAGTCATTTAGTAAATACTTGTTTGCACAACAATCGCCCTTTTCTTCCCGACGATTTGCGAAGAGACGCTTTTCGTTGTATTTCTTGCGATTACCGTCAAATAATGGTAAATATACTTAGTCTTAGCGTACATCGTCGGAAAACTTGACGAGGGATTTAAATGCATGCGAAAAAGATGAGAAAAAAGATTTCCTGAGACCGTTTATCAAGCAACAAGGAGCGCTGAATAATGAGAAAAATAGAAAAGGGATAGATGAAGATAGAGATAGAAAAGTGGAAAGTTGAGATAGAGAAAGAGAGAAAGAGAGATAGAGAGAGAGAGAGAGAAGAGTTAAAAAGAGAGATTGAGTAAAAGTAGATAAAATTTTAAAAAGTATTAAAGATTAATAAGTAAAAATTTCCGAAAATTTTATCATTAAATATTACTGAAATTTTATACTGAGTCCACATGGTACCTGTGATACAAGACGAGTCGCAACGATGGAGATCGAAGAATTCCACCCGAGGTTATAATTGTAACGCATAGTATACACAATTTACACATGCGCGAGTAGCCCTGACGTACATATTCACTCAAATCATTCGCTCATTGCGAAAGCATGATGTAAGATGCTAAAGTTCATTTTGCGATTCTTAACTTTATTTGCCTTGAAATGGCATTCGTCATTTCAACTTAAAACTTTTTAAATTTGTAAGAAAGTATTTCCAAGTTTTCTTCTAGCATCAGTCATATAATTTACTGAAATGTTTTGTCTGAAAATTAATATTTAATATTTTAAATATTTTTCTTCCTATTTTGATATTTCAATTGTTTAAAAATTTTTCTTTCACATTTACTTTAAACAATTTTATTACTAACTATTAAATGAAAAGATAAGATTTTCTATAAAACGAATGTAACAAGTTAAATTGCAAAGTTAAAGAATTAATTTTTAGATTTGCATCCGCATATTTTTGCATACTTATAGTTAAAAATCGCAACAGATTGCAAAGAAAGTTGCATTGAATAAAAACTGATGAAACAGAACTTCGCCAGAATGCTATACTGCTACGTCACTGTAGAAATCAAATAATAAAAATGACGAACGTAAAATATGACAAACATTAACGTCTATTAACGTCAATTCTACGATCAAAAGAAGAGAAAAGTAATTCTCTACTATTATGAGGGAACAAAAGAATAAACAGAACAAAGGAAGAAACGGAAGCAAAACTTGAACACAAAAGAACGCTTGCCCGCAGAAACACACCACTTTCACACGAGACGCTACGCAAATAGCATTACATTAAGCGTCATACGTTTATAAGCAGTGTCTTCAAAGTGGGTGGGATAGTTTAGTAGAGGGCTTAATCAGAAAACGAATATTAGGGATTCATGGTAATCCATGCGAGCAACTAATAAACACATTGGAAATCCGGCAACTTTGGCCAATCGTCCTGTTGTTGGGGTGTTGCGGGACCGTGCAGGATTCAAGCTATCACGGAGTGCAAGAGCCTCGGGTTACAATACTAGTGACGTATACGGGGATGTCCTATGAACCCTTGGACGTTATTTGCAAAAGTGTGCAAAATTTACACGTCTTTCAAAATATAAGCTTCTATATTTTTCTATATTTTCGAAGAAAAAAAATATCGATCTTTTGTAATTATAGATATTCTTTGACCAATTTGTTAGAATGTTTTATTATTTAGACTAAAAACTTTCTTTTTTTCTAAATTCTAAACGTTAACTGTTTTGGCAATTAAAATACAATTAAAATACAAATAAAATCTCTGTTCAAATACACATTTAACACATTAAACATAAAAAATAAAATTTATTTTATCTATTTATATTTATCTCAAAATAAATAATTGTTTCAATGTTTTGATAAAAAATAAATTAAAAATGATCAAAGTATATTCAAAAATATATTTCATTGATTCTATGTAAAATTTAAATCGTATAATAAATTTTTTCTTTACAAAACTCAATGTTATATTTAATTTTATTTATATTTGCCAACGACATGTGTTTATAATCAAATAAATAAATTTAATAATAAAAATCATATTTTTTAATAATAATTTTACATGTTTTATACTTATGCAATTGCCTAAATGGTTTAGACTATACGTCCTAAAAACCTGGAATAAATTGCACACTTGTAACAAATGCACGAGCAAGGTAATAATGGGATGATACTACTGTCCAGTTTTTAAAGGAATCGGAACTTTAAAGATACTCGAGGCAGGCATGATGCGGAAATTATTTCCAGAGGGATTGGACAAACTGCATGGAGCTATTTCCTGCTGCCTTGGTGTAATCTGTTACTGATACTTTAAACTGTATTGCGATATAGCTTAGAAATGGAAGAAATTTTGCTACAAAGATATTTTTATTTGTGGTTGATTAGTATAGAATTTAACTAATCCGAATTGATTCTCGCATCTATAATTGCAGCTGTTAGCATCGTAAATAATTAAAAAAGATATTTAATTAATAAAAATTTTATAATTTACGAAGAAAAATTTATCTAAAAATATCTTAACTGAGCGTGTTGTAATCCAAGTTGTTTGCACAAATACATTGTAAAAGTAATCAAAATTAAATTAAAATATACATAAAATATAAAACATTTTTGTTTTTAAAATATTGAATAAATCAAACAAATATTTTCTAAAATTTATAATTATTTCCATATATATATTTCGTTATATTCACGTTAATCCATGTTATACACATTAAAGTTTCTTTCATTTATCTTGTACATTTGTAGTTTAATATAGAAAAATGACGAAGTAGATTCGCGCTGCTTCGAAGCAAATTTTTTCATTCCAAAGGGCATGTCGTTACGTCAATATAACAGTAACAGCTGCAACCGTGCACATCCGCGGAGCAAGTGTGCACAAAAACTTTCAAAGGCAGCAGGTTGTAAAGCCCATTTAGTGGTTCGATTTGTAGACAACGACCAAGCGAAAACGTCCCGGTCGCCGCGTTCATAAAAAAGTACCGCGGTAAGGTCAGAACGTCGCGCCAGCCAGCCAGCAGAATTCTAAAAAGTGGTAGTGCTTACTGTGCGGAGAGGTGGGGTGGAGTGGGTGATGGGGTTGGGTCATATTTCCTGGGGCGGCCGCGGGACAGATGCCGCCGCTTTACGAACTCGGCGTCGTCCACCATCCAGAATGACCCGAAGTCGTCCTCATAGCGCACAAAACACTTGTGCAATGATAGATTGGTGCGGATCGCGTTCTGTATACACAGACAAGACCACCAAGAAATAGAGAAAAAGAGAGTAAAAAAGATAAGGTTTCTGGTTGATTTTTTTTTTGTAGTTGATTGCGCATTTTTTTTTTTTGCTTTTCTTTCTTTCTTTCTTTCTTAATTTTGCGCTCGGCCCGCTCGCCGCTCGCTACCCTTCGTACGGGGGATGCAGGGCCTCACGTATTGCGCGGGGCCGGTTTTTGTGCTTGCCGTCGCGTTTTACGGGACCCAGACGTACCAGCGGCACGCTGGCACGTCCTCTCGCCGACGGCTCCGTGTCGCTCTTATCGTGTTGCCGGGACACACGAATGATCTCGGCACGATCTCGGAAACGTCGACTTTTTCAGAGAGAGCAAACAACAGCACAGATTCGCAAAAAGAAGGGATGGACAAATCAAAGAAAAATAAAACAGAGACGCAGAGTAATAAAATGTAGTAAGGCGGCTTCCTCTCACTACCTGACAAAGTGCAACACTGCGGTTCTCACTCTGTGTTCCGGGGACAATTCCGCTTCCGGGCTTCCGGGCTTTTCGAGACTAGACTTGGGCCAAGATACTCGGACCCGCCGTTCTCGATCGGGTTAGTCGCTGCAAAGCTCACATGCTCGTTATGAAAGCATACATGACGTACTACGGATTCCCATCTCCGAGAACGTGATTAGCATCTCTAAACTCTCTTTCTATCTGTGTTTTTTTTTTCCTTTCATCTGTTGTGGCTCTTTCATCGGCGACGCACTCTCACGCAACATCCACGCACCCACCAGACTGCCGACTACCATCACACGACGACGGGCAAGTAAGAAGTTCACACACACGCGGGTTCAAACACAGTGATGACGATAGTTTCTCGAGTATTTCAGTCTGCGTAAATATAAACTTATTTTGTTCGGTTATATATAAATTTATTTGCAAAGATGTGAAACTTTCCATTTGTTGTTTCGTTTTCCCAATTGAAATATCTAAGTAAGGGACTCGAATAAGGCGTGTCTTTCAATTTTCAAAACTTTCGATTTCGTCGCAAATATAATAACTATGCTTTTTGTGAAATTATATAAACAGCACCTCGAGAAACTGTATATTAGCAGCAAACATACAGACAGACGACACAAGCGACGTATAGTAAAGACTGTTATGGCGTTTTAGGTGTATAAAGAGGTTTATACACACACAGATCTATACGTATGAATGCGCACGTATCAAGTACAAACAGGTACAGTATACTATGAAGAGAGATGTAAAACAGGGAACACGACGTAGACATTTTGTGTAGGCGATCAAATATATGATTAAAATAAGAGAAGTAGAGAGAAATGCACAGGAGAGCGTGCGTGTATGTGCGTATACATACATACGAAGGCCACAAACGCACTGATACGTGCGTTCGCCTTTAAGTCGCATATATAAAAATATATATATAATATATAAAACAGATATATATATTAAAAATACATATATGTAAAAAGAGCTATATATATATATATATATTCTTTCCTTTTCCCCGATGTATCAAGGGGATAGTTTTCTCTGAATCACAAACTTCCCTATGATTTCATCACCGTTTTTCCCCGAATTCCTTCTATATATATATACATATATATATATATATATATGTATGTATAAAAGGAAGGAATTCGGGGAAAAACGGTGATGAAATCATAGGGAAGTTTGTGATTCAGAGAAAACTATCCCCTTGATACATCGGGGAAAAGGAAAGAATGCGGGCTTCAAGTCTCGTTGATCTCCGCTCCAAGAGGAGGGAAGCTAAAGGAGCGGTAAGAAATATCGGTGTGAGAGAAAGAGAAAGTGAGAGAGACAGAGACAGAGAGAGACAGAGAGAGAGAGAGAATAAAGAGTAAAAAGCGCGGTTGTAATTATTTCTTTTTCTGATCGATGGGGCATGGGGAGGGGCAACGTACCCGGTCGTGCTGCAAGCGCGCTGTGGGCGTCTCTTGTAAAACTCCACTTCGTCCACCGTCCATACGGCCCCTTTCACGTTTTCGACTCGCATGAAACATTTGTGGAGAGACAGGTTGTGTCGCACTGCGTTCTATACAAAATAATACACAGACTAAATAAGCAACGCAAAAAACGAACGAAGCCAACTCAATCACGGTCCCGGTAGTCGGCGAAGGGGGAAAGGATCACGGTCGTTCGTGGCGATTCGTGGCGCGTGTGTGTACGTGTACGTGCGGCTGTATGGTTACGCAGGCGGTAGAGAGTCCTCGACATCGGGTGATGATGACCGATCACGCTGATGAGGCAAGAATGGATGATGATCGTGAGACCGAGGCGCGAGGTTGCTAAGTGAGACGTGCGATATTGTGCGTGTGCCGTATGATTTGTCGAGGTGCCAAGGTGCCAACGAGCAGCGTTGCGAACGATCTCGTTGAATGTTACAACGTAGACACTTTGTGCAGAACTTTGTGATTAAATATATCTCCTGATATGTTTACCGCAATGACGTATCAATATCTCGAGTTAATATTATACGAATTTATGTTGCATTATATATTTCAAGTTTTCTTAGAACTCTTTCATATGAAGTTCTCAATATATTTTTAACTACGTTTAACGGTTCTGATAGGATTATAATTTGTCGCGATGATAGTAGAAAGATATATGAATAGAATGAAACATAATTTATCTGCCGCTGAATACTGAAATAACGTATTTATCATGTTTTTACCGAGATACTCAAATTCATTTATTCATTTGTATTACCAAAAATACAACGAGCAATAATAATTAAAGAGTTGTAATATAACTTCAATAAAAGTTATTAATTCCATAATGCATGTTTGCTCATTCACTTTACGAATATACTTGAACGTTATAGAGAAGGTACACACAATCGAGCTCCCGAATATTTTATGACTTGACGTACTTTTGCACAAAATGACAGTTTCAGTCTTATAGTTATGACCTCGATCTATAACCTAGATCTTATATATTTCCTCGTTTTATTACAATTCAAGTCTTTATAGATAATAATTTTGACCTAGATAAATTTTAGGATGATCTGTTTCGACAACGCTGCTCTTGCGAGCTATGGCAGCCATCTTTGAAGACATGCGAGACGTTGCATTTTTATGATATATTTAAAATCAAATATGTCGTATAAATAAACGAAAATATTTTCTATCATTATATTTACAAAATTTAACATATTAAACAAACAAAAATATTCCCCAAAAAATATATAATACCCGCAGCTTATATTTAACATTAAAAAAAAACTTTTTCACTAATGTTATATGATGTACAGATTGTTCGAGGATATTTCATTTATGATAAAAAAATTAATTTGATAATTGTTTTATTGTTGTCATTCAAAGATGGATGCAATAGCTAGCATTCTTGAAGAATACAAGCAAAGCTGCCACCTTAAACTTAAATTTGCACCGTAAACTTAAATATTGCTGTATCGTTTCTATGTTTTTTTGATTCGAGCATATTTCTCAACAACTTAAATTACCCAGATTATGCAGATTAATAAATACTTTTAATAGCGTTCTTAAAAAAGCTGCTTTTATGAACATACGTAAAATAGAGTTTCAAAAATGCTAAGCGAACAAATAAAATAATATAAATATAATAAATATCCAGTAAAAGCAGCGCAAATTATTACGCAAGTGCAATAGTATACTGAATTTTAAAAGATACTTATATAAATGCAATTACTCAGTCACAACTGAATTTATTATTTAAAAAAAGAGCCGGGCAAGTCTTCCAGGTGGCAGCCAACAAAGAAAAACAGAAATCGGCATCGCGTTGTGACATATACAAAACAAATAATAATATAAAGTCTAGCCAACCGATAATCAGCGATAATTAATAACGCGATATCCACCAATAATGACGGTGGCGACGATGATCGATGACGATGAGGTCGGTGATGATGATCGCTGTTAGCACAGAAGGAAATCGGCAATGAAATCGCGACGTCGAAGGCCGCATGAGGAACGAACCAAAATATGATTAATCGAAAGAGACACGGTTTGTGGCATTCCTTTATCGTTAATGCACAGCTAGTCATCTAAATCTAGGGGCAACGACAACAATTATTCATGCCGCAGGGCCGAATATAAAATTCGACGAGGCCGCGCGACGCGGCCGTACGATGACGTGTTTGTCGCCATCCGCTATCACCGGCGTGTTGGTTCCTTGGCTCTGCTCCGTTCACGCCTTCTCCCTCCGCTCTCTGCTGTAAACCTGTTTGCGTTTTTTTTTTATGTTTTCATATACACATAACCATGCGAGGCGAAGCGTCATGGCAAACGTCAATTACTTCCACGCACACTCGCACACACGCAAAAACGCACGCGCGCAAACACTCTTGCCAACAAGCGGTTTGTCACGTCGGCTTACAAATCGATCATGAACCATCGGCACGTTATATTCGTTGTCTTCGGATACCTGAGAGAGATGCGGAATGTATTAATTTATATTACTGCTCCGCGTTTAATCGGTAATTTTATTCGGTCGATTCGTTCCAGACTAAATAAATATAATGATAATCATTTAAATAATCATTCAAACCGTCGTAATTATTTAGAATAAAGTCTATTATGTCAGAATAAAGCGATTCATGAGATCTCTACAAAATACCTATATATCTCTACTATTATTTAATATAATACGTTTTTGCAGATAATATGCGATTTCTCATTCAGATACATTGACAACGATCATTTTAAACGATAAAATAATTGACGTAATATGTGTTTATAGGAATGTATAATGCAATAATCGTCTGTAAGGACGTTCCAATTCTATTTACTATTGGTTTAGTTATTGGCCTATTAGTTTATTATTAGTTTAAGAGAATTGCTGTTATTCTGACACGCGATGCTATTGAGTGGTCTGCAAATGAGGGGAAACAAGGAAGAATATAATGACAGATGGCTCATAAATGACTCGTAATATGTCATATTTCACATGTTACCAGTTTTCCCCCCTTATTCGAGAAAGCACAATACAACTATCATTACCAGCTGCTCTGCCCGGCACGTCACTTAGCCTGTTAATCCAAATCAATACATATAATTATCCGAAATTCTTAATAAGCTGTCATCTTTTCTTGTTAAGCGCATTCAGCTTAATACGCTCGTATAAATACAAATTGCGTGATTGTTTTATCCTTGTTTTATCCTTGACTCCCGTTGCACAAACAGATTCGTGCTAACTTCATCCAGTTAAAAGAGAGTCACTTCCTCACTTTACTCGTAACTCTCTCGCTATTTAAAGATTACATTTGGAATATACTTCTTCCGGTTTTCTTATGGAGAAATAAAATTGCTATATATATATATAAAAAGCTTGGAATATTTTATGCCTTGTAAAAATTACTAGCTGCAAGCATAAAAAAATTAGAAAAAAATTCTGATAAGAAAGCTACATTTTGGATATTTCGAATCTCAAAGTCAAAAGCTTTTATCTGTTTCTTGTTTAATTTTCTTGTTTTGAAATTGGGTAATTATACTACTGGAATTATAAAATATACCTTCCACGTTGCTGCGTTGCGCCGGAAGTAGCAGAATGTGTTTTGGAACCAGTTGTAAATTTCATTGAGTGTCAGCTGCTTCTCGGGAGATTCGATGATAGACTATGAAAAGAGCAATATTATAATTATATTAACTTGCTCTATTCTAAGAGGCAAAACATCATGGCTAAGGTACTTAAATGTCCACATACGAAGAGACTTACGTGTAATATCGGTTCGTATATCGTGCAAAATTTGTACTTTTAGATTATAATATTAAATAATGATTTGAAAATGTTAAAATTCTTTAATAAAATATAATATATAAAATTAATAAGTAAAATAAATTTTATTACACCTAAATAATTATTAAGATATAATGCACTTCAATATAAACATTATTAAATCCGAATAATATTTAACATATTAATTTTAATAAATAAAGTGAAAATTAATTTTCAGTATATTCTCGAAATTATTAAAATAATCACGATAATAGGTATGTAAGCATTCAAATTGTTTTATGTTGTTAAAGAAAATCCCCACAATGATTTGTTAGAATAATGCGACGCGATAAGAAAATGCAATATCCGGAGAATCTTTCGCCAATTATATTATCTACTCACCTGCCGAATTAAGGATGCATACGTGAACGGTGGTCTGACGTCTGCATTCTTGTAGAATTCTCTATTTCGCTGAATTTCTGAAACCGGACGCAATAAATTTCATTTATCCTATACGTTATTAAAAGTAATAGCAGGTCGAAAGCTAATATTTTTATTACTGATAACAAGTAATTATATATGTTTAATTATTTTTTTACGCAATAAGATCTGAACACAGGGATCACACAAACAAGCAAACATTGTGCTAGTCACGTAAAATTATGATAAAATTTTGCTCTCAAATGACGAAGAATAAATTAAGAGTAATTATTATATAAGCTATGCGTATTTTTACGGTATTTTCAAAAAAACTTAATCGATTTAAATATCTATATTATAATAAATATTAAATAAGATTTTTATTTAAATATTTGTATTAAATATTAAATAAGTTTGAAAAGTTATAAATATACATTTTGAATTACATAATAAGATACATATCAATTTTATATTTCACATTTTTTATTAAATTATGTTTTTCTAAATTTTCTTTTTTAGCTTTTAAATGGATTTCTAAATTTGAAAATAGCAATTGGTGATCAAATAAATTAAAAACTATATGCAAAATATATATCTAATAATAAGGTTTCATAGAAAGAAATCATATGCAAAATATCAATATTAAGAGTAAAGAACGGATATTCTTCTAAAATAATGATAATTTTTATATCTGCAGAAATATATGCAGACGCATGCTTTTATAAAAAAAAAAATTTCATAAAAATCGGAACAAGGTAATACAAACATCGAAATTCTTCACATTTAATTTTTTCGGATCTACTCTTTTTAGAGGTGATTGTACATTACATTTATTTACAACATTAAAACTGAAGTTCACGTATTTGTTTGCCAAAAATAAAAGTAATTCAAACCAAATACATGGATCACCTCTTTCGCGCTTAAAAGAAAAGCAATAAAAAAATAAATTACGGCCAATCGATTTATCCAATCTCAAGTGTTTGCATGGGGTTTTGGAATACTCGCAATTTTAATTATTTCAAGAATTATAGTAAAATTAGAAAAATTGTTGCTACATAAAAAGAATAATTTTGCTGAAATATTTAAAAATTTAAGTAAATATAGATCTGAAAAGAAATTTTCTTACTATCAAAATAATTACATAGGAAACTCAAACACGATGAGCAATGTTGCAAAAAAATTTTTGACATTCTAGCTTGAGTGTCTCACATAATTATTTTGATAGTCCAACGAAACTACTTTCAGATCTGTATCTAACTAAATTTTGTTAGATACTTTAGCAAAGTCATTGTTGTGTGAACGTGGAGAGGTAGAGATGAAGACGAAAAAAGGAAGTGAGTGTTCATGCAAGGTGCATCTTTCCGCAAGAAAATTTGTAAGCCACAAAAGGGAATGTGTGGAAAATAGGTTGACAGTACCTTGTTGGACGTCAAGGCCAGCACGCTCCAGCATGTAGGGCAGCCCTACACGGTGGGGAGGGCAGGCAGCACAAGAAATAAGGAAACAACAAAAGCATCGATAAGAAAGAGGTTCGAGCTGGCGGATGAAAGAATTTTTTTTTTTTTCATCTCATATAATTTCTTTTCTCATCGCATAAATTTCCTTGCATCCCCTCTCTACACACCTATGCGTTTTACACCGCCAACAAGGTGTTGAACACTGTCGCTTCACGTGACATAGTCGCTACCATAAGTAATCTGTGCGTGTGATACAATTTACGAGAGGAAAAGGCACGAGACCAAGAGAGGACCGTAAAGAGCACTTGCTACAGGATCGGTTTTTTTTTTATTTCGTCGGAGTGAATATATTTTTGTGACGAACCTCGAAATGCCAAAAATAATTTCAAAAATATAAATACATAATTATCTTATTACGCAGGATTAAAATTATAAATATGGTCTCATAGAACTATACGGTTTACGAAGAAAATGAAGAAATATTGTCGACATCGACATCGACAATTTTCATTTATCATATTTCCCTCAAATTAATAATGTTTTATAACTTTCATTATAATACCACAGCTATAATATCGTTATTTATTTTCTAGACACACGTCTGTATAATGTAATTTGAAAAGGATAGCTTCTCTTATTAAAACTTTAATAAGAGTTGCAGTGCAGAAATTTTTCATAATGGTATTTCGAAGCTCGCGCGTCACTCCGAATATGATTTTGTGTTATCGTTACCTTCGTTAATATCTATTCCAGATCTATCGACGGCTACTCTGCGCCTTACAGTGCCCTCGTCATACAGTCCTACGAATAGTATTTAATTTCTGAATTGTCATTTCTTTCGTTTCGCCTTTCTTTGAGACGATATTAATCCAGTTCCAAGCTCTCGTATGCGTTTCAAGCATAAAAGCTATACGTTCGGAAAATGGTTATATCGAAAATATTTTAATTAAAGACATTAAATTTACAAGTTAATAATACTCCTATATGTATGTATAATAATACATAAGGTATGAAAATTATACAATAGGAATTGAACTAAAAAAAGGGATATATTCAATTAGGAATGAATTAATATCACTAAATTCGATAAATAAATAGTATGTAGATGTATAGTGTACGTATATTTCGCAAATCGCAGTTAATACCATTTAGCAAGAAAATTTTAATATACCTACATATTTGTCTCTTTTATCTTTCTTTGTATATGTATATTATATATACATAATGAAATATATATGTACATAACTGAAATTATGTTTTATTAAAATGAATTGTTAATAATTCAATATCCTTTAATGTGTTTTTAATTTCAATTTTTATTATTAATATAAGCGACTAACGAACTATACTATACATTATGCATTGATATTTAGACGTACCAACAATCTATTAACACAGAATCAACCATTTTCCTTGAAACAGGTAAAACGGAAGAGCTGTTGCAAAATTGATTTCAAAATAAAATTGACCTTGGTAACGCAATATGATGATTCTGACCCTCATTAATTCTCGAAGACGCTAAATTTCACCTTGCCAGTCAGGCAAGATAATTAGAGATTATGAAATAAAGAGACGACCTTACCTCCTGCTAAAGAAAGAGCTGACTTGTCGCTGATGCGCCGTCTGATTGGACCAGCCATACTCGGCATGCTACCAGGCATGTTGGGCATGGGAGGTAAACTGGACATGTTGGGTATGGTCGGAAGTGGTGGCATCGGGGCACTGCCAACCGACGGAGGCAGCTGAGCACTCGCGGGCGACCTCACGGCAGACACTAGCGCGGACATGGATACTGGTGACACCTGAGAGACTCCAAAGTTAGGTGGCGGTTGACTCATTAGCGCAGTGGAAAAATTTAACTTTGGTAAATTCGAGCCCGTCTGAAAAAGAGAGTTCCCAAAATTCAAAATGGTAGACGAGACAAAGGACAGTGATGAACGATATAAACGAATCGAATATAAACTGAACAGAGATCATTTTAAAATTATAAAAGCAATGAAAGCGTTGTACAGTTAAAAAGATGTTTTTATGTAATTTATGCAGAGCAATTTCCAAAGTTTGATTAACTAATTTTTCATAAACTCAGAAAAACTCTACGGTTGTAACTTTTGAAATCATTGTACGCAAGATTTGTCTTCTAGATTTAATAACAAAGAAATATCTCATTACTTTTGCTCCATAAATTTCATGATAAATGTAATGTACATATTTAAAGCACTTGATGCAATACAAATATGAATATCAATAAATGCAGTTGCCATATGGATATCTTATTACATATCATAGTGGCGTATACGAGCAATCTGATCTTCGTAGAATTACTCACACAGCTGCGTTAAAATAATTAAGCCGTCGACCGTCGAGCGTTGTCGCCGGCGGAGGGCTAATGCGATATTGGTATTCTCTGACTGCCCAACTTGTTAGGGGTTTTAATTAAGGCGATATAAAATTACCACAGCTCCGATGAATTATTAATGCAAACTTTATGTATAAATTAGCACTCGACTCGGCGGCGCGTTAAAACTGAAACTCGCGTTGTTGTTAGCGAGCCACGAGAAGCTCGTAAAATCTTCCAACGAGCTGGTCTGTCGTGAAAATCCGGCTTTACGATCTCGTAGCAATACCACAGCGAAGAAAGTTTACGCATCGCGGTTGAACCGTTTTTCCAGATTCAGTTTTCAGTATTCCTTCTATAGCGGATCTTTAAGCGTGTTATAATTGCAATTTATGATAAAGATTTTCTTTTGTTTCGTGATGTAATAATTAATAATTTTAATTTGCAGCAAATTTATAGATAAAATTACTCTCACAATTCTCAACGATAATTAATTTTTTTTATGAAGCTATAAGAAAAGACGACAGTAGTATACACAAATTGTTTTTGTTAATATAAATTAATATATTTTTGTTAATACAATCAATTGGTACAACAAACTCTAATCTATTTTATGCTAATAATAATATTGAAAAAAATTAAATATCTATTAGGTTGAATCATAAATAATTTCCATTTCGGAGAATAAATTGTAATGATTTTATGCCAATCATTACGTTAATAACTCATTATACTACACAAATCAGATCATGTTTGAAGTAAATTTCGTAATCTCATAATGACAATGATAGTGTACACATTGAAATAAAGTAATAAATTTCTTAATCCTGAATTGAAGGAAATAAAAATGCATATTCATCATATAATATTATGGTAGGAGAAAATGCTACAGAAGTAGCTAAAAAAAAGTTTGTTTATGGCATAACTGACAGGCAAGTACAAAATTGGCTTACAAAATTTCATTATGAAAATATGTACGTTGATAAAAGATGAACACAGACGAGAGCGCTCAATAGACTTCGATGCATCGTGCTTTAAAATTATTAGTGAAATACACTTAATGGAATGGCAACAAATCATTGCAAATAATTGCGAACATATAATATAATAGATTAAGATATAATTTTTTGTTTTTTATCGAGAAATAAAATTCATATACTAAAACGGAAATTATTTATGACTCAGCTTAAGGAATACAATTTTTATATAAAGAAATTAAATTGTTACGAAAGAGAAATTATAGTCATCATCGTGTTGTTTTCATTATTTTTAATATGGATTAGTAATAAATGAATGATTAAATAAAATAAGTTCAATAAAATAAAGAAACTTAACCTAAAGAATAAGAATTATAAATATAATAAAGAGAATTTACCGATGACTCCGATGACTTTGGCGGTTCCGGGGAAGCCATTTGTTTTGCCATGTGCAAATGATGCATCATAGCGCCTAGTCGGTCTCGTTCTTTTTGCAACTGAATTTCTAACTGTGACACTACTTGCATCTGGACCCTGGCTTGCGCTGTCGATCGGTCATCCAATGTGTGCTCTGTATTTAAGTGTCTGCAATATTTCAGGATTAATTACGGTTTATTTTAATTCAACATGCTGCAGTTTCAATCCCCCCCCCCTCTCTCTCTCTCTCTCAATGTAAATATTACGATGTTAAGAAAATAATGAACAAGATTAAATTATTTATAATATTTTAACATAATAATCATTTATTGTCCTTTTGTTAAATTAAATTAAATAATAAAAAAGAATATAAGTAAAATTATATATAAAATTCAAATAAACTTTCAATTAAATTTATTATCGTTACATTTATGTTTCATATACACAAAAATTTCATTTTAAATTATTTAATATTTTAGTATAATGTCGTAACGTCGTGGCAGTCTAATAAAGATTTATATCATTAAATTAAAAGTCTTTAATTTGACTTTAAAACAAATGATTAAAAATGAAGTAATTTGCAGCCTATGTTTATCAATAAAAAATATGGAAAGGTGAGAAAAACCGTGAGAATTATCTTGCGAGAGTAGCAAAAAAATCTGCGCGTCAGAAAGCCACAAAAAATCCCGAGCACGTAACGCTTCCATTCTCCGACTACAAGAGTTGAAAACCCCAGGAGACGGCAGGACAGAAAATTAAGCTTCGCCGCGTCGTAGGTAGAGGATGGGGGTGCCAACAACGCCAACAAGATTCCGTATTTAAGAATTTCCGTAATCCTTCTTCGTCGACGGAACGGACGGCTGTATCGACGGGGGTGGAAAAGGGTGGCGAGAGGAGCGGATCGGTCGGTTGAAAGAACGAAGATGCGGGAAGGTCGAGGGAGTTTGAACGAACGAACTGACGGGGGAAAGGGACAGAAAGGGATTAGACTGAGGGGCATAACGATGCGGTCGAATGTCGTGAATATTAATGAGACAAAGGTAATTAGCGTTTTTCTTTTTTTTTAAGTAACGGCTTGTTTGAGGGAGAGTTTGCACTGAGACGAGCTACGTGATTACGAAGGATCTTTCGGATGGGATAGAGCTACGACGAGCTTGCGGTTGCGGCTCGAAGCCGATGAGCGAAAACGCCTGATGTCAATGAGATATGCTGACACGAGCGATTTTTCTACACTTTCCTTGCCTCATTTTCCCCAATTAAATTACCGACTTTATTCCTTCTATTTCTTCAGTTTCCCGTACACAAGATATTCGCAGTTCCTTTTTTACGTTTATCTATCTGTTTGGAAATAGTTCTCTCTAAAATATATCGCATTTTTATTTCGATTCGTTATTAATCTGAATCTTTATTATTAGTAAAAAATACTAAATATTAAAAAATACTTGCATTCACAAAAATTTATTATTTAATAGCTGGAAGAGAATTTTACTGAATTTGCAATGGAAGACGGATAACGATTGATTCTTACATGTTGAAAATACAATTAAGAAAATATATTAAAAAAATATATTTAAAAAAAAATAAATCGAAGAACTCACTTAAGGAATGCTTGATAGTCTTCACAAATTACTTCACAGCCTGGCCACTTGCACACCCCATGGCCATAGAGGGGATGAACCTTGTCGTTGCAGGAGGCATCCAGCGGCTTTTCGTCCATCGGTGTTGTACCATTCACCTCGGACCGTCGGCTCGAAGCTATCGAATTCAGAATGCCTGCGATAGTTCGGTAAACGAACGTCGCATTCGCAAAAAAATAAAACATAAGCATGGAGAAATTAGAATACAAAAACGAGCGAGCTCGAGATCAACAGAGAAGCGTGAAACTGTTGTTTTACCGTTCAATCCAGAATTCGATTTCGCCACGTTGGAATTCTGGTGGGATTCCGGTGTATCCGAGGGCTCTGACTTCCATGATGGTAGATTATCACCTGGTGGCAAACCTGCTTAATTTAGAAAAAAAGCACCCATTTGAAAATGATTAAGCGAAGAGATAATAATCGCCATAATTTCCATAAAAATATATTTATATCGTTGAATTTTCGTAATTAAGATAGGAAATCAAAAGAAAATGTAATTGCTTAGAAACATATATCGCATCACATAATCATATCACATGATCATATCAGTAAAAATTTTAATTTAAAAAAAGCTTATTATCATAAATATTTAAACAGGATAGCTCACCAAATAATTTGTCGTTACTAGTAATCATTTTAACGTAAAAATGATAAATAAACATGATAAATAATGTCAGCTTGTTAACTGAGAGATAATAAACAATATTCGCAATAATATTCAGTGCAATCTTGATACAATCATACGTGAAGCAAATGTGTTGATGAAAGACGAAGCAACGCGTCGATAAGGAGGAATAGGAAGAATTGAGAATGCTAAGAACAATAAAATTAAAAGATAATATAGTTAAATTTTTGAGAAATGAAGAAAATAGAGAGGACATAGCAAGCAGTAGGAATAGGGCCAGATGCATGGTCGAGAATAACGGCTAGATTCATTTCACGTATGAACTCTCGAATTTGAAGCATCTGACGATGAGTCACGATTGCTATTTCGAATGATCCTTTCGAACCTATGTATCACGTACAAGTATCAGAAAAGAGAACATCGTTGGAGCGAGCACCGGTTTGTAATCGAAACGCTTTTATGTAAAAGTTTTGTTCAGAGTAAAAAACAAGAAAGGGAGACGCAAGGGAGAATGGAAGAAGAGAAGAAGTAAATGAAATTAAAGTGAAGAAAAAAATAAAGAAATAAAGAGACGTAGTGCACAGAGGTTCGAAAGGATTATGTAGGAGAATACTGAATCGTTTTAGTTTAAAACTAAAGGGATGCCTCCAGTATCAAAGCTTATCTTTGTCTTTGCGTACGTGCTACTGATGACATGTGATTCCTATGACACGAGTATGTCACGCGTCGCAGCAAATACACTCATGTGTTCGGTTGCGGCATGTGATTGTCTTGATAACGAATTCCTATGTTTATGCAATGTAATCGTGTTAGAATGTGATAATAACACGCGAGTTAAAAATATACGTTTGCATAATCCTTTTATCACGAACGTGAACATGCGTTGATAAAAACGTCGACTTCTTGATGATAGAGATACGTACTGATGCAAAACACGTGCAAGATATTAAAACAACGACTAACAATAATCTTTGAAAAAGCTGTTCACGCATTCGTAAGATACAAATATTATTTTTAAGAATTAAAAAAAATCTTGATCATCTTTTTGAATAATTCTTCGTTTTATATATAAAGAACAGACTTAATCAAATCTAAGGTTCTATCTAGATGAGATTTCGTATTTAAAATGTAGCTTAATTATAGACCTGACCTGTTCTAAGTCTTCAAATCTTTTCAAACGCTTCAAATCTTTTCACTGAAGTAATATTTAATATATCATAACTATTGATTAAAATGTAAAAGATTAATAATCACAATTATAAAATTTATAGTTTATTTTAATTTCGTATTATATTTCGTTGAAAAAATATTTTTTTAATACACTCTATTGGAATTATAAATATATCTTATGTTCGCACTTTATCAACATCTATTTAAAAATTATTTTATTATTAAAGCATACCGAAATATCTTTAATCAAGCACATTAATTTTGTTTAAATAAATACCTGAAGAAGGATTATGGCCTTGAAGACTTAATCCTTGCTGCAAAAGATACTGCCTCTGTGTAATCTGTAGTTGCTGTATCAGTTGCTGTTGTTGAATCGCTAATTGTTGAAGAGGCGCCGATGCTTTCTTTTTGTCCGCCGTTTGCAATAAATGTGTCTGCTGAAATAAGTTCAGCTGTAATTGTTCCTGCAGTTGTTGCATTGCCTGTTCCAATTGTTTCTTGTTGAGTTCCGCGAGTTGATGCTGATGCTAAAACAAATCAGAAGCCGATATGCAAATGTATAAAGTATTTTATATCACTTTGCTAGTTTAATGTTGTGTATTGACAATTATATTGTATTACATAATCGATGTTATATTAAGCGAATAATTTGATATACATAAACAATGAACAATGCGATTCTCGATGTGATTATACTGGGAGCTCACGAAGTTAAAGATTCATTAAGGTAAGGCATTAAATTTATATATACCTATATATATAAAATTTATGATTGCTGATTTATATATACCTATATATATATATATATATATAAAATTTCTGATCGCTCAAAAGTGAACCGAAACGTTTAAAGCTTTGCAATTGAGCACAATTGATAATAGATTTAAATTGCGGTCTACTAACCGCGCTTAACTCTTATTTGTTCGATATATCTCTTTATTTAATTTTTGATATGTATAATTTATAAAAAAAAAAGAAAGGGGAAAAAGGAAAAAGAGAACTCCACACATTATATTTTCATTTTATAAACATTATATTAATTATAATCTTTCTGCAGAGAGTGTCTTTTAATTAAAAAAAAAGATATAATTAATTACAAATCAAATGATATCGTCGACAGTTTATTATTAAACGTCAGGCACAAAAGTGAACATTTCGCTCTCTTGCCAAATTAGTTGGCCGGAATAAAAAGGAGAGGAAAAAAGGGCGGCACTTACGTCTTGGAATGATGAATAAATCACGGGCGCAGATAATTCGCGGCACCAAGGGGGCAAGAAGATAGAGGGCAGTTGATGGGTAGCTCGAAGACAAACAACGAGACACAACGGCTGATGGCGATGCTTAATTGCTTACCTCACCCTCCAGACTAACTCCCTCCGCCTATTTCATTTCTCGGTCTCTCTCGTGCGCCTCGAGGATATTTTAAAACAAACTTCGAGGTACGCACCCTTTATCATATTACTATAAACGAACACTCTGCACGATTAATGGGCGCAAACACGGTCTCGCTAATAAGCATTTTCCATGTTCATGTTAAGCATACGATTTCTTTATATTTTGCATTTATTGTACACTTCATATATTTTTCCCCATAATAGATCTTGACAACGTTCAAGAAATTTTCAAGCAACACATATTTATAACAGGGCTGGCCTTTAATTTGATCTGCAATTAAACTTCACACATGGAAAGAACGGTTTTGTGTATCTAAAAATTTAGCTAGATACAGATCTGAAAATAATTTTATCGGATCTTCAGAATAATTATATAGAACATCTAAAGATTGATAATAATACTGTCAAAATTAAGTTAACATTCTAGTAACCAATTTAAGCGTCCTACATAATCATTTTGATGATCCAAAAATTATTTTCATATCTGTATCTAAATTTTTAGATATTTCAGCAAAACCATTCTTTCCCTGTACCTAACATTTATTCGTTTTTACTAATCCAATTTTATGTGAGCATTAAAAGTTATCGTTACGTGATCAATGATTTCTGAGAAAATGATTGAACAAAAAAAAAACGTTCTCTAATTTGAGGTTCGGCACATTTCTTTCTCTTCAGAGAATAGTTTCTGCTACAATAAATGACACGGTGCCATGAAAAATATTTGTTGTCGCTTACGTTGGTATTTTTGAAAAGGAATATCAGAGTGCTTATTGGATCGTAGGCGCCAGGATAACACTGTGGCTGGATAGCAAAAGTGGTTCGCGCGACATGTATTGTTATCGTAACGATATAGAAGGGACTACCTGTTTACACAGACCGAGTATCAACCCTCTCGCTATAGCATCGAACTTCCCGGCAGTCCCGTCCGCCGCGAATTGCGCGTATACCGAAATTCAAAACCTCTTTTAAGATTAGCTTCCTCACGAAAGTGTCTTACGTTTCCGTTTCGTTTGTTCAATTAAGAGTTAAATTTAAGATACTATGTCATTAAATTACAATGTTATATTTGCATCACAGGGCGTATTTTGATCGAGTTTTACACGAAATGAAAATATACTATTCGTATAAAAGTTATGAAAGATTTCAACCGACAAATTTATCCATCAAGTAAATAACTGTGAAATAGTTATTTTTGTCGAAAGTAGAATAACTTTTTTGCACAAGAGTCTTTAATTCGTGACTTGGCCAATTTCTTAATTGATTGAACGTTGTTAGACGTTATTAGTGAAATTGTACATTAGTGACGCCATACATAATGAATAAATCGATGGAAGGGATAAAATTGGAAAAACGTTTTAGCTATACCTAATTTATATCATATTACTGATTGCTTTGACGACTAAATTGTTTCTCTTATTGCAATATGAAACCCTTTTTCCTTTTTACCCAATATTTTTATATAACGTAAAATAAAACAATTAGGAATATCTCAGGAATATTTGTCGCAATAAGTTAAGGTATTAAAATTAGTTGCTATTAAAATTATGATAAAAACTGACGATTCATTTAATTTGAAACTATTAATTTAATTATTATTTCAATGTGATTGCATTGTAAATTCGACAGACAGTTGGGCGCGCAATTTAAAGAATTAAAAAGATATACATAAAATGTGGATAGAAATGTTATTAAAGAGACCTAAGATCTAATCGCGATTGTTTATGGGCTTCTTTCTTAATTATTTAAATTATTCATATAATAATCTAGATGAACTTATTATTGTTAAAGAATATTTCTTTACTTACGTTCTTTAAATGAATCCTGCAATTTAATGCGATGTTGTGACTAAAGCAATTGAAAAAATAAAAAATGCAAAAGTGCATGAAAATCAAGGTAAAAATTTTATATTGCAAAATAATACACGTAAAAACAAAAATGGATATAATGTTAAAACTTGATTGAAAATTAATTAATCATCGATTGATTAATCATGTCTTAAAATTTTAAGTACATTAATTAAATACCTACATTGAAGGATGGAATTTACCTGATGGTGTTGCTGTTGCTGTTGCTGCATGTACAACGTATGCTGCTGCATAAAGGATTGCAGTTGCGTGGGGCTGAGTATGTGTTGCTGCAGCAGTTGTTGCATCTGATGAAGACCACTCGCCGAGCTGAGCATCATCTGCGAGGGGGTCTGCGACGGCGGAGCCCCTGGCGGGCCACCGGGTGGCGGACCCTGGGAAGGATTCGGTGGTGAACCCCTCTGTGGGGCTTGCGGGCTTTGATGCGGGCTAGGTTGGGGCCCTGGTGCCCCTGAGCTGGGCTGTTGCGACTGCTGCGTGATGATTGGCTGCTTTTGCTGGGTCATGGGTGCTGGTGTCACTACGTGTCCGGCGGGACTGAGCTTCCCATTGCTTTGGTACTCGATAGTGAGATCCTGCTGCTGCTGTTGCTGCTGTTGATCAGCAACACCGCTGCCGCCGCCGGTCTCCGCTATATTACTTCTGCCGGAGTCGCGATTGCGGATCGTAGATAGGCGATCCCTGTCGCGGCACTCGCGGTCCCGCGACGAGAAGACGCTGTCACGCGTTTGCTGTTGCTGCTGCTTCAGGGCTGCAAACAGCGAAGTAGCCTGCAATATGAAAATGGAGATCGAGAGCTCGATCAAAGGCTGTTGCGAGCTGCCTTGTGGAGAAATCATAGTAACTCCGTGTCGTGAAAAACCAAAAATCTTAATTATATACTACGTATAAACATTTAAATCAAAATCGACCGGTATTTACGCAGCGTAAATTTCGAGATAAGAGACGAGAATTAAATGAGAAAGATAGCGCGAGAGACGCGGGACCATGAGAGAGCAAAAGAGCAGCTCCGAGCGGAATATTCATGATATAAATGCCATAATGTACATGCGTTAAACTTCTACCGTATTTTGAACAATATTGATCTTATCTAATAGTATTCGGGAGTGCGCGGGCCAGCCTCGACTGCTCCGTCATCATTGGCTGGCTCGAAGGAAAACTCGCTGTTGTCTGAATGACGTCGGTTAGAGTCTCCTCGGCTGTTTACACAGCGGGATTTGTTTTATTAAGTTCCATCATCAAGCAGATTGTCGAGTGTAAAGGCGGAATCGAGCTTCTCTTCTGCTCGCTTCTCATGAGGGTCGAAACTTTCGAGCGCGTTCCAGATGTCTCGATAAGTTCATTATTATTATTGTGTTATTGTATGATATAATGGGGCACTTTTAGACAATGTTATCTGAGAAATTTATTACCCTTTATTACCATAAGATGTGTTTCGTCGTAGAAATAATAACTAGCCTTTGCACTTCTAGAAGTTTAGCGATAATAATCAATAAATTTTTTTAATATAAAGATAACAGTTCTTAAAAAATGTCGTTTTTTTAATTTAATATTTTTCATAAACATACAAAACATAATATAATTTAAACATAACTTTTAAGTGATTATTAAATAATTTAAACATACACCAGACACAAAATATCATCAAAATAATATAAGAATTTAATATACTTTGGCGAATCGTATTATTTTCTGATGAAACTTTAAATAATTTAAATTTTATTGCACAATAAGAATATTTATTGTAAAATATTATTATATTATAAAAGAATTATTATAACACAAGTAAATTTCCAAGATTAGATTTCATTTACTGTTATGCATATGCACGTAATTTATATTATTGAGTAATTTAAATTATTTTTCACGTTATATTATGTTATTTTGACGGTATGTCAAATAAGATGCTATGTATCAATAATTTTAATCAATATAAATACTTTACTGCAGTAAATGTGAAATAGTATCAGCAATCGTGAATTACAATGAAACGAATGAGTAAGCCACTTGTCTTATATAGGATGTTTCGTAAAAACTGTAATTGCTGAAGGAGAGATACTTAAGAGCATTTTGAGAAAAAATCCTAATATTGAGGTAATTATAATTTTTCAATATAATATATATTAATAATTATAATCTTCGAAATAATAATCTTCGCATGCAAATCGTTATATTGTTATTAAAAGAGGCGACACAATTAGCTTCCGCGTTTAGCACTTTATGTTATATCACACCTGAACGCGCAAATTTTAAACGGTACGACTAATTCACGAACGTTTAATATATATATTTTGCTTATAATTTAAAAACTAGTCTCACAGAAAAAAAAGCAAGTAGCTGTCATAATTAAAAACTGCGTGTGGTAATTAAATGGTAGGTGTCAATGGACACAGTTAAGATATACGAAATATAAGAATCGTAGTTAATGTAGCTATGTCTTAGCTATGATACTTATATTATAGCAAACTATTTTGCCATAGTTTATAAAATAGTTATTTACGGCAGTAAATCTATTTTAACAAATCAAAATTAGCTATGACAGGACAAATTTTTTTCCATGCTCGACATTTTAGTACTAGAATTTTTATCTTCAATGATTTCAGGAATCTACTTTTAAACATTGTTACGATCTTTATAGAACATCCTATATATCGCTCTATTTATTCTTGTAAACAACTATCTTAAATATATATTACATCACGTACAACAACAAGCAAAAAAAATGTACAAGACACGTTCAGCTAAAAATATTTCCAATTCGAGTGTTCGATGGCCTTGCACTTCGTGCCTTCGTCGGGACCGAATTGCATAACAAACAATCATCACGCAACAAAGTAATTACTACAAACACACGTGTCTCGGAGACGCATCGCTTGTGCAAATATTTATCATCACAAGGATCCATTGGACAGCAAAACAGCTTGTCGAAGACGTTCGTATGCGTTTTCCGCGATGTGTTTATTCCGCGAATATATTCTTTCTTCTTTTTTTGCATCTTTACATGACAAAACTTTTGTCGAGCTACTATCATTGAAATATCAAATGATGCAAAATTGCTGAGTCTTCGTCAATTGTGTTCTACTCGACAAAAATAATAGTGCAATCACAACATGCGTGGCATAAATGTGTTTATAATGCAATGTTGTTTATAACTGTATTGTCATAAAAATTCCGTGTTAAAATGCAGTTGCAATCATAAATGATGGGTGTAAAAAAGCGACGTAAAAACTAGTTAATCCATAAAAAATAATTTACGTAAGATTGTTGCTTTTCTAGCAGGTTATATACAAGCACAACATAAAATCATTCTCATGTGAGATCAATTTGCGTTATTCTATTACTAATGATTGACAGGGCTTATGCAATCCATACCCGACCAAAGCTTGGTCTTCTCGAATCAAACATCCTATCGGACACCAAAGACGTTGGAAGATAAATTTAAAATACGTTTGCCTTTACACACGGAGCTACGAAACGATTGTCTCTCGGGCGGAAGGCCGTGTGTCTCTTGCAAATCCAGCATGCCGAGTCCTATGCTAATCTTATTTGTGTACGATTACGTATGTTTATAACATGCAAAGAAATTCCGCGGCGCGCGTTATCAGTGTTTAGTCAGGAGCGCCAGCGCGTGGCATTTCAGGCCAAAGTCTGTGAGGTAGAGGAAAGAAAGGAAAGGGAATAGAAAACGACAGAGTCGGAGGCGGCGAAGGAAAACAGACGTAAAGGCACTCACAGAATTTCGCGCGTATGCATTTGGGACTGCAGCACTTCCGAATTTTGTTCTTTCCATTACCATCCGCTACGAACCCCTGCAGTTAACATTTTCATTTTACGCAATCGAACAGCTCTGTGTGCTATTCGTACAATAGTTACTCGCTTATTCGTCTAATTATCATTACTAAACATGACGGTTAGCATGTGGTAATACTTAGAATTTAAATTATCTGATATTGACTTGTGAACTACATTAATAAATATGTATGCTGTCGTCATACCACTTGTAAAAATAACAATGTTACTTTTCCTAATTATGAAAATAATAATATTATGTATCAAGCAAATAAATATTCTAAGTCTCTTTGCATGTATTTAAATACTTTTGAAGATTAGCATACAACTATTGAAATATACAACTATTACATAAATTCCTTGCAGCTCTTATTATTAAGGAGTGAAAGACCACGTGCACCTTCAGATTGTGAGGTTCGACATCGTTTGCCCACAGAATTAATAAAATGTGACGATCAGCAGAATTGGTTTAATCCATTTCGGCTCATAGCGGTTCTTCGCAGAGGTCGACCTTTAATTCTTTAATTAATTCCAACCCCGCGTCTCTCTTAATGAAGGAACGAAGAATCTTAAACCGAAAACCGCGACAACGCGGAAGGGATAACGATTCTCGTCGCGAAAACGTAAGAGTTTTCAGGGGGAAGCGGGCGGAGAGCAAAGGGAAAAGACGATGAAGTTCGACGTGTGTACACGAGGGGGAGAGGGGCAAAGGAAAAAGATATAAGAGTACGAAAGAATGAAAGTATAAGGGCCGACGCTGAAGGGCCATCGACTACAGATAAGAGGGACTCCTAAGACTCTTTTAAGAAAAGGTTAAATAAAGGTCGGAGGCTGTGCGCTTGTTGTTGGCTGTTCAGATTCCTTCGACCCCCGCCCACCCCTTTTGAGCCCCTCATTCCCTCACGGGTACCACGCGTAACCCCACTTATGAATCCCGGAGGCTTCTTCGAGTTCAACCCCCTCGCGCGGGCTCTCATATCTTTTATATATTAGAATTTTCACCAACGTTTCCTCGCAAAAGCTCCGCTCTGTTTACTGTTTGGATTTATTCCCCCGCTGCAGCAACCTCTCTTACTGAAACTCCCGTGGCTGTATATGAGTTCCTTATGTACATCCTCGCCGTGATACTTTCGGTTCTCCACGTTGCCGAACTTTCTACTACGCTTCATCTGCTGGTATAAGGGTACCTTTGCAAAAATCCGTCAATGCTCAGGAGTTTAGACAAATCTCTGACTCATCATTATTTTTGGCTAAATATTTAACAACTCAATTTTCGTAGATGTATTGAAAACGACTGTCTATGTAAACTTCTATATATAAATTCATAAAATATAATTTCATTTTGTTTTCAACCGTGCAAATATATCAAAATGAGAAATGTAAAATTAAAAGAACATTTCATATACGAACACTATATGTAATTAAATAAAATTTTCTTTGAAAACATAATAATAAGATTTAAATCAAGTACTATATATTATTCTTTGAATAATAATAAGATACGTGTCTAATTTAGAATTATTTATCAGTCTCTAATTGAAGTAGTCGATTCAATAATTTGTACCCAAAAAGAAGTTTTGAGGTCTAACGAGAATCTCTAGGAAATCGAGCATTTTATATGAAACAAAAATTGAATACAATCACCTAATGATGCAATTGTAATGATTTAATAACGAACAATCAACGCCAATCGTTTTGTAATTGCTCACTAGGTGGAAAAAAGGAGAATATCGATATCAGCCGATAGGCGGAAATGAATACAAAACGGGTATCGAAATTTCTGTTGTGTAGGCGATTGTTCGATAGCCGTCGAACATCGGCCGTGTTTTAAACCGGTGGGATATCGTTAGATTTTAAACTCGTTACAGGCACGCTGTCAGGAGTGTTTATTCAGCGCGCTTTTCTGCATGTCGACGATGCGCGGACTAAGCTACGTGCGTCGAGTCTCGTTCGATGCTTCGTGTGTGCAGACTCGCTCGCG